GAGGCTAATTTACTTTATCAACTTAGCTGATAAAACCAAAATTACCTTGTAACAGCTGACAGTTTCTAATCTAAAAAAAAAAGACTCTGAATTTTACCTTGAACTGTGCGCCAACTGTCGGCTTTTTGGTGGCTGGCATTCCCTGGCGAGCTTTACTTAGTCGCTGAAAAAGAAAAAAGTCATTAAACATCGTTATAATTTACTACAGAGCTGTTGAGGAATCGTGGAAATTTTGATGTACACTTTCTCTGTATCTGCAAGCCATCATGATCCTACAGGTAGCTTGCTAGCAGCCCTAGTCGTAGATCTAGTCGTAACGTTTTGAACTTGTGCAACGAAAATCTTACTCGGGTAAATTAGCAAATCATGAGCTCGGAGTATTTTGCATTAAGATGACGTTTTGTTGCTAAGCCACTTGCCCTGAGAATTTTTCCTTCCTCAGCTATGAACATTAATTGCAAACCAATTTTTTACTGAGCGTCGTAACCTATCCCTAGTCATACCTTAGTTCTTCTGACCACATTTCCTTTGCTTACTCGTCCTTGTAGAGCCAATGTACCAGTTCGAGTGATGGTACCTGAAATAGGACAACAGATTCACATGAGAGCAACCTTCAAATGAGTGTCGAAAGTAATAAGAGACTGCATCGGTTTTTCTCTACCTCGCATTGTGATTGATCCAGAAAACTGGCGCCACTCTCTAAACCAATCAGATGCAAAACTAAAACCAATCACACTTGGTCGGCCGCGTTTTGCCGCGCTTTAGGCAGTTTGTTTTCCTTTATTTTGATATCTCATTTTCTCTTCAGGGAACTTTCCTTTCTTCTCGCCTTTGCAAATTGTTTTGGTTTTGTATTCAGTCTAAAAGGGCTCTATGTAAAAGTAAGATGCGATTAACCGTACAGCTTAGCAAGCTTGATTGTTAAACCGGTTTAATTAAAGCGGTAACCAACGACTTAACAGTAATATACTGGGGTGTATTTCCCTGATTTAAAGAGGAAACTGGATGCATGTGCGACAACGAAAAAGATTATAGTTAACCTGCTTAGCAAAATAACATTCACCTCGCGGAAAAATAAGAAACACTGCCAGAATAAAACCATGAGCGTTCCCGCGGGAAAAATTTCGCACAATAATACGGGTGTACCTTCACAGAGTCTTTCATATTTGTAAACATTTCGTGAGGAAAAGTAAAAACCCTGGGCAAAGCCTAACCTAACATGGGATTAAACAAATTGCTATCAATTTTTAATTATTTCCTGCAAAACTGATTTCCAGTTGATAACTGGTTGAGATATTGTAGGAAATACTGTGGCTAATCGTACCAGAAAAGATAGTGGCAATCAAACTGTTATCACTTCTTCGCAGCATATCCACAACACCTGGTGGGAGAGTGTCACGATTTTTCTCAAGAAAACCTGTAGCGTCATATTCAACCTAAGAAAATCAACACAGAGTCGAAAGAGCTGATTAATGTATGCGGATGCGCTAATTTTTGACCGTATACCCTTTGACGTATGATTTCGTTATTTAGCTCTGTCCACAGAGTCAAATTTTCCTTCCACCTTCCACTTCTGAGCTAGCGAGCAGGTTTTCACGATTCACGCTGCAGGACGCGCATTCCTCCGTCCGCAGCAAGAATTTAGACAATTCAGGGAGAGGTTTGCCGGGGTCGGGTTCGAATAATCAGTGCTAGACCCCTCCCAGACCTTTCGCCGACTCGTAATCACGGTTCAAAGCCTCATAACTTCCCGAGCTTCCTCTTGACGAGGCGCTAAAAACGAAGGTTTGCTCGCAGGCTATCCTCTTCCAGTCACGGTTTCCCCCTGGCTTCTATGTGTCATTTTTCGACTACCTTTGTTTTACGCGAAAAAGAGAGAGAGAAAAAAGTAAAGTGGGGCGTTATTCATGCCTCGCAATGTAACGTAACGTAATGAGTATGAGTTTCCCACATTCTAATCTCTGAAAGCGTAAATATGTTCCTGATAAAGAGATGAGAAAACAGAGAAAGATATCGTTTCGTATCAGCACTCACCTTTCCAGCATAGTGACAGATCCCGAACAGGTTCGTGTTTGACTGCCTTGACTTGATAAAAACGCTACTTTTCCCACAGTTTTGCCTTAATTTCTCCACAAATGATTGGTCGGTGCTCTACGAGAAACAGTGTCGGCAAAGCAAAAGAAACAGTGTCGGCAAAGCAAAAGAAACAGTGTCGGCAAAGCAAAAGAAACAGTGTCGGCAAAGCAAAAGACAGCGGAGCAAATGTGCAACTGATTTCCTACTACTTCATATAAGACGCCTCTGCCGAATCCTATCTTAAATAGGTGGTTGTGGTACCGATATAGAAGGTAAGTATTGCGTGACGAGAACAAGAGAAACTTGATACAATACAAATGAATAAAGGCTGATAGTTTCTAAAGAAACTGTTTGGGGCTGCGTCGGTGGGGGTAAC